ACTTGCTGCACTGAGAAATATTCAGAGAATCATTTGAGATAAATATGTTAAATGCAATAGGGAATAAAGTAAAGATCGTTTGAAACTATTTGTTAAATATTTATTCAAAGTGCTTTTACAAAATTAAATGATGTAACAAATTCTCAATAATTTATTCATATTTTTATAGTTCCAATCGTATTAGAATTATTTACAAGTGATGATGAAAACAATTATAATAGTGAATTAATTATAAGCAGGTAAAGAAGTAATATAACATATATATATATATACAAAATTTAGCATAGACTTTATTTATACCAAAAAGCTTACAAATTAATTTATAACTATAATATATTTCATGATACTATTTATTAATTTTATTAATTTTAATAACAAGATTCCTGACGAATAAGAATGAATAACAGGTTGATAACTCAAACATTTCATCAGTATTATGAAAAAAGTTATTGTGTTTTTATGGTAATTTTATGATTATAATTTGAAGCTATTGATTATTTTTTGATAGATTTGTAAAGCAGTTAAAAATAAACGTAATACATAAAATTTTGGAGGTTATATGACCATTTAATAAAGCCTTCGCCACGTTTTCTTCATAAAAAAGCATTATTTTTAATTTATTTTATTTATCTATTTTTTTCAAAGAAAAGATCTGCATAAAATTAGCCAATCATTTTTGTTTTGTTTTTTTCTAAAAGATTTCTAGATTGTCTATCCTTACAGTATTTGGAAATTCCATATTTGGTAATAATCCTGACTGTATTGGCCATTTATTACTTGGTAACAAGAAATCTGGTGTAAAAATTATCTTAGGAATTTTGCATTTTTTAACATTACAGTCAGACTCCTATATAGTCACATCCTATATAATCACAACATAGTATAGTCACATTTTTTTGTTAATTTGAAAAATTCCCTGCTACTACTAATTAATCATAGTAAAAACATGTCCTGTATAGTAACAAACACTATAGTCACCAAAATTCTTGAAATTTCACTATGGTCCCAAGGTGTGTACTTAATCTTCTAATCAAATTTGTAAAGCAAGCTAAAGTGTAAAGCTTTTGCTATATTTTTTTTATTTTCAAAAAAATGATCTGCTATCTAGTAACCAACCATCAACTAACTATTATTGCTTAACAAACAAAATGGTATCTACTCCTCATGGGCGGTCGATCAAAAAGATAAATTGCAACGAGTTATTTCTTTAAATAATTTTTTTAACTTTTCTTATCAAAAATAAGGGTCTAAATTTTCACGTGATATTTTCTTAAATTTTATTGGCTGAAACACTTGGTTTCTTTAAAATTTATTGGCTGAAATATGTAACGTGATAAACTTTAAAACTCCCACGCCTTTGTGTCGCCGATGGCTTTTTGCTGTAACAGAAACGCGGGGTTTTTGGTCTGACCAGAGTTGTGAATCTAAGCCTTGTCTGCTGTAAATGAAATCGAAGTGTCACGCGACCGTTTACACAACATATAAAACAATGTCACATTAATATCCTTATTTGGAATGATAAAGATGAACACATGTAAAGAAAGGATCATTCATTCATTGATTCTTTTTGGGATCAAAAATGAATGCACATTTGGATGGAAATTACCGAGTAAATTTTTCTTCATTTGATAAGGTTTTTCCAGGACCATCAACCAACCACCATCCAACCAGCCATCCATCCATCCCAACAAATATATCTTTAATAATAATGATGATGAAGCCAAATCTTGATGACGATGATATCTTAATGTTGTTATTTTTGGTTCTAAAAAAAAGGCTTTCTATGATATCTAAAAAAATTTCTTTATTTGTTAAAATTTAAATTAATAAATATGATGATGATAAAAAAGGAAATTTGCAAAATTTTATGAGTGGTTGGAGTTATCTTATCTTTTCAAAAAATTGATCGGTAAAAAATAAACAAATATTTAGAATGTTTATTTATTTTGGATAGAGATAAGGAATATTCATCGTAACCTATATATATATAATCAATCACATTATATTTTTTTAGATAAGTTTAAAAAACCCCTTTTTTCTTTTCTTTTTAATTTTTACTATTTAATTCATTCATTTTGATAATTAATATCTACATATATATATAAATCAATAATAGTAATAAAGATTTCCGAGATAGAGATCATCAATAAATTTTTCACAAAAACTTTCTCTTCCTCTTCCTCCTCTTCTTCCTCGCCAACAACGAATGTATGATTTCTTTGATTATTATTAATTTTGGTGGAGTAAATTAAACGATTTGTCTTCTTGATTGAAAAACAAATATTTTCAACCTTTTTTTTTTTTATAAAGCTTTTTTTTCACGAACGGAATATATCAATACACAATATATATATTTTTTAAACATGGAAGATTGGTTAACTATAACGTGCATAATAATTTGTATATTATGTTTTCAAAATATTTACGTACAAGTGAAACGACAAGGTTCAGTGCTTGTAATATACAGCGTAACAAATTCGTTGTTAAGTTTGTCTTTTGTATTGGCTGGAATATTCCTACCAACAAAATTTAAAATAGAAGATGCAACCAAATCAGAATATACGTGGTGCGGAATAAGCGGTATATTATTTTCCATCAGTTCAGTGGCAAATTATGGGATGGCATTGGCTCTGTCCGTTGAACTTTACGTATCATTACGAGTCACCAATCCAGCCGCACGTAAAGAACCGTTGATACAAAGGTTAAATTTTGTACTGGCATATATATTACCATTACTGTCTATAATACTAAGTATTATAGTGTTGTTGGCGTATGATGATAACGTATTCGAGACAATTGATGCGGGTGGAATATGTGAAGTGTCAAGACATGGTAAAAATTTACTTGCATTATTTTTCTTAAGGACATTGACCGAATACCTAGCAATCTTTCCATCGTGTGTATTGTCGGTATTATCATTAATACCGGTGGCCAAGGTTGTGTTTAAAAATCGTAAATTGCAATTTAGTATGACTGGACCATGTTCGATATCCAAAGAATCAACAAAACCAAACACCACCATTACCACAAGAGCAGGTCCACCACCAAATTCATCAACATCAGCAAATCACAAATATCTTCTACCGCGTAATGTTCTTATACGGATGGGATTATGGTGCAGTTTATTGATTCTGTTGGGAATACCGACATCGGTGATTGTGCTATACCGAAACATAAAAAACCTAACAGATCCGACCAACACCGATTTATCATTTTATCTTTCGCCTGGTCAAACTGATTTCTTGGCAATTTATGGATTCACCTTGCACATGGTATTATCAAATGGATTGTTCTTATTATGTTTTGGTACCGGAAAATTTGCTAATGAACAATATCGAATTCTTTGGACTACAATATTACAAAAAATATTTTTTTGTTGTCGACCAAAATCACGTATTCCAAGTTCACAGATTGAATTTGATATGATCGATCACACAGCAAGTCATAATCATCATAATCATAATCACGATCGTAATCAAAATATGAGCACATCAACATTTTCAAAAGGACATTCGATCATCTCATTACCTGAAGTAGCCGCAGCTTATGGAGCTAATACAACATCGTCAGGATCCATAATAATAAACACGATTGCTAGGACAATGACAGTCAACTCAAATTCTTCATCACTTCGTATAAAAGGAGGAGGAGGAGGTGTTGATTCTGGGAGAGAATACAATAACAATACGATTAATAATAATGATTGTCTTAATGCTGTTAGTAGCATTGGTAGCAATGACAATAATCATATTAATATTAATATCAATAACAATCATAGTAATAATGGTAATGATAATTCATAATGAAAATAATAACAAATGATACCATCGAATCGACATGATAGGCAGAAATGATGGTGATCTGAATCATCTCTATCAGAGCTAATACCTGAACTAATCCAGGTCAGCTCCAACTTCAGAGAAAATTTATTTATTAGTATTTTTATATATATTTATATTTAGTTGAACAATCATTCACGTACATATTTATTTATTCATTTATCGATTCATTCACCAAGAATAACCAAATACTTGTCATCCCCTAACATCAAAATATTTTTTTTTTGAAAAGAAAAAATAATTCCATTTGTTTATTTGTTTATTTATTTTACTCTTTTATTTTAATAGCAATAATTTTTGTTTTCACTTTCTTTTAATCTAAGTTTTTCATTTTTCAATTGTAAATATGTTTTTTCATTGTACTATTTATATAAATTATTATTTCGAGTGTGCATAATTAAGTAATTGAATATATATATTCTTGTAATTTTAAATAATCTAATAATAATTTCAAAATTAAATTAAATTAATTAGATTTATTATATAAACCCAATTTTGAATCTAAACCAAATTTAGCAATAATTAAATAAAATTCCAATAATTTCTAACTATTCAAGTTCCGGACTCTTTGTAAAAATAAATAATTCTATCTATATAATGAAACAAAGAGACAACGATATACGTACCTTACATACACGCACATTTTTAACATAAAGTTATATATACACAATCTACACTGGTGAATGTAAATTCGGATATTTTTTTCTATTTTCGATTATTATAAATTAAAAAATTCCATCATAGAAATCAAGGTTAGCGCGCCTATGATAGAGTCAAATAAAAGTATTAATTTTAATTATATTAATTATTATGATTATATAATAATGTGCTTTAATAATTATTTATATAAATATATGATATTAAACGAATCTAGTCTTAGTCTTTTTTTTTCTATTTTATTTTTTTTTTCAATTTTTTTCTTTTAAAATTCTCTTTCCTTCTCGCCTCGTTTCATTCTGAATGATTTATTTCGGATGGAATCCATAAAATACATTCACCAACAAACCATACCCCTATATTATCTATCATTATATATCGCCATTACCAAATTTACTTTCATCTTTCTTCTTTATCATTAATTTCATCATCGTTACTAATTAAAATAAAAAAAGCAAAAATAAAAAATTCAACGAGTAAAAATTATAAATATTATTTTGTGAAAAAGAAAATGACAGTTTTTAAAAAAAATAATTTACAAGCCTTGACGGCCGTTGATGGTTTCATAATATTTATAATTTTTTTCTTTCTTACTATTATTATTAATATTAATACCATAAATGCTTATCCAATAAGCGATAATAATAACAACAATACCGATGAATTTAAAGGTAACGAAAGATAAAATCAATTAATTAAATTTTATGCTTGATAATAATAATAATAATAATAATGACAAAAAAAAAAACTTTTCTTATACATAACAGAAAAAATACCTTCTTATTTATTAACAATAAACAACAAAATTTCATCATCGAAATCAAAAAATCAAAAATCAATCTTATTATCAAATCTAATTGAAAAAAGACAAGATCTTTGTGTTAGTGACAATTCACAATGTGAAAAGGTTGATAACACAAATGATGATGGAGATGGCACAGAAAATAGAACGACAAGAATCGTAATAATCGTAATAGTTTTAATAGTTTTATTTTTTGTAGGTTTAGGACTTTGTATATATTTGAGCGTGACAAGAATTAAAAAACGTGATAATGATAAAAGAACAAACGTCGTCAATAACAGAGATTTTGATAATGATAAAAGTACAAACATCATAAACAACAGAGATTTGGATAATGATAAAATAACAAACAGCGACAACAACAGAAATTTTGATAATGATAATATTGACATTGATAATAATAATGATGGTGTTGTAGAAAAAAGTAGGATGAGCAGGATAAGTGTTGATGCGAATAATCATCGTTACAATCGTTATAAAGAAAAAATCAAAAAGCTCAACAAATCAGTATCATCATCAACACCATCACCATCACCACCATCACAACAACAATATATTAACAATATCACATCACCTTTAAGAACGGTTAATCCTCCTCAGACAACTAATAATAATAATCGTAATGTTAATAATATCATCGATGATATTGTTACCCCAGAAATTAAACCACTACCACCAACACCATCTCCAAAATCAAAATCAAAACCCGCAAAAAAAAAAAAAAAAAAAATCAATTCGCGTCTGTCCTACCAGAAAAAAAACCAATAGGATAAATAATTAATGTGTACACGTCGATCAAATAAACAAACTTATTTCTAATCATGCCACAACGACGTGACGACAATAAAAGAAATAGAAACAATCAACAAGAAAATATCGCTGGGTAAGTGTTTTTTAATGATGGCGGTGGTGGTTATCGCCCGCCACCTATCGTCACTCTAGTTCTAGTTTAAGAAATAAATTTTCTAGTTTACTAAGATTTTGACTTTTATCAGCACCATCACTACCAACCAAGAAAAACTCAATCATTCTATTTTGGAAAAGGACCGGCTCAAAAAATCTCTTGAGCAAAAAAAGACAAACATTTTAAGATCATCAGATAAATTGCGTGAAACTAAAAAAAAAATGGATAATATTAAAGAAAAAATTATTAAATTTGAATTAGAAATAAAAATTAAAAAACAAACTTTAGAAAATTTAATTAATAGTATCGAGAAAGATTGTGAAGAATTAAAAGGCCTAAAGAATGCTGAAGAATCAAACGACAAAGAATCAATAATCATTAAGGAAAATATCGAAGAAGAAAAAATATTAATCGAACATTTAAACGCAGAATGCTTTGAAAATGAAAAAACTCGTCGCCATTTGCACAACGTCGTTCAAAATCTAAAGGGAAATATTCGCGTTTTTTGCAGAGTTCGTCCACAAACTTCCGCCGAGAAAGACGTTCCTCTTACCGATATTGAGTACCCAGAAAAATGCGAGAGTAAAAAAATTGTGATTGGATCTGCCGTGAAAAATTACCTAAACAAAAAGAAAAATATTTTAAAGGAATATGAATTTGATCATGTTTTCAAACCTGATAGCACCCAAGGACAAGTATACACTGAGGTCGCTGCTGACATCATCCAATCAGTGGTTGATGGGTACAATTGTTGCATTTTTGCTTATGGTCAAACAGGTGCAGGGAAAACTTACACAATGCAAGGTTCTGATGATACTCCGGAAAGTGAAGGTATGATCACAAGAGCATTCAAACACATCTTTGATCTTGTCAACGAATTGGAGTTTCAGGGGTGGAGTTATACAATCGAAGGTCAATTCATCGAAATATATAATGATCGAATCTATGATTTGCTTATCTCACATGGAGAAGTAAAAGATGTGAAGATAACACATAACATTGGAGAAGGTTCAACAAGGATCACTAATGTGAAAACAGGTAAGAAAAAGAGTCATTTAAAATAATAATGATGATGATGGCGATGACGATAATGATGATGATAAATAATTTTATTATTATTATTATTATTTAGTAAACCTTGAATCACCAGATTATGTTAATCAAGTGCTTAGATCTGCAACAAAGAACCGAATTGTTGCTTCTACAAAAATGAATGATAATTCCTCAAGAAGTCACAGCATATTTATGATTCATATCAAAGGTTCTAATTCTGTTACAAATGAGAAACGATTGGGTTCCTTGAACCTTATTGACCTGGCAGGTTCAGAGAAAATATCAGCTTACGAATCAACTGGAGATCTTCAAGTTGAAACGATAAATATTAACAAGAGTCTCAGCAGTCTAAAAACAGTTATACAAAACATAAAGGAAAATGCGAGTCATATCAATTACCGTGACTCCACCTTGACCTATGTTTTGAAGAATTCATTAGGTGAACCATTATTGTTATGTTGTATATGGATTTTTTTTAAACTTGTTTTTATTTATATAATAATAATATATAAATATATGCATGTATGTGTATATATGTATATTATACATATGTAGGTGGAAATTCCAAGGTGTTGATGTTAGTTAATATTTCCCCGGTAAGATCATCTCAAGTGGATACTGAAAACAGTTTAGAATTTGGGCGTATTGCAAAAGCAGCTCACATCAGCATTGCAAAAAAAGGTTAAAACTTAATAACAACAATAATTATAACAATAATATTATTGTATTATTGCATCTCAAGTTTCTATTAATTTCTAACATTATTAAAAAAAGTAAAATTAAAAGATAGATATATATTATTAGCATTAATATTGCATCATTATTAATTTCTTTTTATTTGTATTAAAATTTAAATTTAATCTTACATGTATATATTTTCTTTATTTGAGCATCAAAGAAAAAACTATTTGCAATATTATATAAATAAATAAATAATTATAATAATTATAATTACTATCACTATTACAGTAAAGAAATCATTCTTTTAAAAAATAATTACATAAAAAATTTACAAATATTCTTCAACTTTTGTTATAAATAATTAAATCTTATTGTAATCTTGATTGATTATCATATTTATAACTATTTCCTGGGTAAGTTGGATTTGGAGATGAATGAGTTAAATGTGACGAGTTTGGTGAATGAATTAATTGTGATGGATAAGATGATTGATGTGGTGGTATGATTGACATAATGATGTAAATTAATTTCATATTAACTATTTTTATCTAGATGAATATCATGATCATGTTACATTAGTGATAGTGATGACTAAATTTTGATCCCTGAAATTCTTGATAATACCAATGTTCACTTTGTCTGATTTTGTTGCAGCATGCCCCATATAATAGATCATTCATTCAGACGAATGTATAATAAGTGCAGATCGCCTATTACAAGTCAAAAAATTTGCCAATCATTGACTTTATTCAGTTATTATTATATGTAATATTATTATTATGGATATTTATTATTATTATTATTATTTCGTTCGTGTTCGATTATTCGAATATTCAAAAATTCGGTGCTACATACCAAATTAGGAAGGGCCATTATGTTTAATATTAAAAGTTACGCGAAATTTAAAATGTTTTTATTAAAAATTCTATTTAGAAAAATAAATTAATTACGTTTAAACAAACTTATAGCATATATAGTAAAGATTTATATCGGCGATTGATATTTACTTTGAATTTTATAATGTAGTTTTATATTAAACTCATACAAAGAATTTCGTGCACATATATAAAAAGGGAATGTTACTAATTACCGTTACATCATTTCTTAATTCTTTTTGATGCTTTTTTTTAAAATCTGAGCTGAACTTTTCGTTAAAATTTTGTTTTATTCACTGATTGGTCAGATTAATAATCATATGACAGGACCCGATGTCTTGTTATAATGGATTTTCGTTATAACGAACAAAAAGTCTTGTCCTTGTTTTTTAATAAGTAAAAACTTTTGTTATTTATAATAAACATTGCTATTTCGTATGATGAGATGAACATTTAATATTAATATTAATATTAATATTAATATTATCAAGAGATTTCCAAATTTGGAAATTGATTCTGGAAAAACTCGACCCCTCGTCTATCAATTCATACGGGTTTACGTAACAAGAAGTTAGCTTTTTTCCTAATTCTAGTGAATGAAACATCAAAACCAACTTCCAGTACTTTACCATGTTTATTTGCTTCACTTGCTCAAGAACATCCTGAGAGTGATTTGAAGTCACGAGAAACTAAAAGTGATCGATCTTGGAGACATGCGTCAAGATCCATAGCAAAGGAACATTTTTGATGTATTTTTTATATATATTAATAAATTAATATATTCTTTTGCTAAGTGTTTCTGAATATTTTTATAGTTTCAATCATATTAGAACTATTTATTTATTTTTACTATATAAGATTTGGATAAGTTTATTTATACAGTTCACTCTATAACGAACTTTATTGCTTTTATTCATTATAGAGAGTGTTTAATAAGATGTTCGTTATTATTAAATAGAGAGAAATTAATCATAAAAAATAAATCAAAAGTGAAGTTCATTATAGAGAGAATGAACTGTGGTCATATTACACGCAATAGATGAGTAAATTTATTTATAAATTGTTAATGATGTTATTCATTAATTTTATAATTTCAATGACAAGATTCCTGATGAATGAGTGACAGGTTAATAAAACCAAACAGCATAATGGCCCATTTGGCTTACAAAAAATGTCTGTTATAGAGAGAACCTGTTATAGACAGTAATGATTTATATATGGGACATATAAGCTTGGCTTAATTCCTCTGTCTGTTATATAGACAGATCTATTATAGAAAGATCTATTATTATTATAGAGAAGTTAACTGTGTATTTAGTCATTATGAAAAGCTATAAAGTTTTATGGTAACTTGATGATTATGAAGCTATTAATTATTTTTTATTGAGCTTGTAATGCAGTTAAAAATACACGTATCACATAATTTTGGTAGTTGTATGACCATTTAATAAATCTCTCGCCAAGTTTTCTTCATAGAAAGGTAAGCATTATTTTTTCAATAAAAAGATTTGCATAAAATTTAGCCAATTATTTTTTTCCTAAATCGTTGTATTGGAAATTCCTTATTTGGAATGACTGTGCTGGTCGCTTTATACCGAATTATTGTAGATCAAAAAAATTTGAACATAAATAAATGATAAATAAATAATAAAATCAATTGAGAATATTTTAAATGGCAATAAAATAAAATAAATAAACTCATGATAAAATCATTCAAGGAATGAAATTCACTATTGAAATGATTGTAGTTTTGAAACATAAAACAATTTTTCTAATTCCAATATTATCTGAAAAAACGTGCCCATAATGCTGCTGCACAAAAATTTATTTAATGAAACAACAAGAGCATAACAAAAAGTAAAAGTTCTAACGAATGGCTTGATAATGATCCAAATTCATATCAAGCAATATAAAAAAAAATCAAATGAATACATCAAAGAAAAAATTAATCTAAAAATCTAAAATAACTTCTTATTTTACTGTATTATATTAATGTTATCTATCTATATAGTATATTATTTATTATAATTTGTTATAATAAAATATCACGTGATGATTGACTCATTGTTAATTCAACTGTATTTCTTTTTTCTTTATACAGATGAATTGCTATTCCAGTAGCAACCCATAATAATTCTATGGTTCTAGAAGTTGCTCTGTAATCTACAACTTCATCCAGTTTATCTAAAAATTTGGAACCAAGTTTAGCTGCAAGATTAATAATTCCATATCCTAAATCATTTCCTCGCTGCCCAAGCATAGGAATCACCTCTGGGTGGTCTTTGTTATAACGTACAAGTTTTCGAAAAATTGCTTCATCAGCAACTAAGTCAAGGCGTTTATTGTACCCATATCCTCTTAAAGAGGTCGCATGTAGCAAAAACATTTCTACCACAATTAGCCGGAGGACCTGCTTTAAGTATTACAACATTAGGTGTGGTCTTGACAATTGTAGAGTTTTCTAAAGAATAGTTGGTAATTTCATCATGTATATGATGTACATCCAATTTTTATCATCATTCCATTCTCCAATAAATTCAGAAGGTCCAAACAAATTATCAAGTGTTCTTGACCACATTGGTGATTCTTTCATGATATCATTCAAAGATTCTTGCAAGTCAAGTTGGATAACTATTCGGGCTATTGCATATTAAAAGCACCTGATATAAAGAACTTAATAATTTGAGTTTGTGGCATAATGTTGCTAAAATTTGGGTAATCCAAACCTTTCTTTTTTTAAAATGCAGTTGTTATGACTACAGATGAAAGAAATGCTGTTGTTTTTATTCTTTGATTATTGTTAGGATCAGAGATTGGATTTCTACGTTGAAGTTGCTTTTTAATATTTATTGTTTCAACCATTCAACCATTTCACCAAAAAACTTGTCAAGCAAGATGTCTTATATCTATTGTATGTTGGATATTCCCAGGGATATTCGCCCCTTCTTTGAAACTTTTGAAAGCGTTTTTCATTATTTAAATTTTTTAAAAATATTTTGTTATCAAAAAAAAAAATTTTTTTTTTTTTTTAAAAGATGAACAAAAATATTATATTTAGATTTTGATAGTCATTCAAATACCAGTAATTAACTATATTTGCTAATAAATTTGTTGTGACTCTTACCAGGACCCATTAAAGGTTACATGCAAAGCTATTGGTAAAATTTAATTTTCTTTGCATATATCATATATCAAAATTTTACTAAAAAGTAGCATATTTAGTTTTGTTTTTTAACAAATTGTGGATTAAATAAACCATAATAACCAACAATACTTTATTTATTTTTTTTTTTTTCAAGGAAAACTTTTGAGACGAAGCTTTCTTATAATCATCCCAAACTGGTTTATAATCTATACCTCGGCATTCTTTCAAAAATTTAAATGACGTTACATATTGGTTGTGCTTTCTGTAACAGCAGTTGGTTCTTTAAGTGAAACCAGATAGCTTAGATTTGATTGTATCTTCTAATTGAACTGGCAGCAATTTGTGGACACTTGATTTTAGCTGAATTAACTAAAACAAAACTAAATATAATGAATAGTTTATATATTATAGGGCGAAAGGAAAATTGAATCAATGAATTATATAAAGCATAATTATATTTTTTATGCACGAATAACAAACAAATGCACTCCAATTTACAAAAAATCACAAAATAACGCTTTCGCGCGGACTAAAAATTTATTGAATAATATCAATCGATGTTATAAATGTCCTATCACTTCTAATAGTCTATTTTCTTTTTTTAACTTTGAGGAAAAAATAAAAATCTATTTGGTGTGACTGGTATTTTCTTTATAATATTTTTGGTACTATCAGAGATTATTGCTTCGGCCATTTTTTTAGGACTAAGATTACCAGAAGCACTGATTTTTAAAGCAACAACACCGGCAGTTAATGGAGATGAGAAGCTTGTACCGGAATCTAGAGAAGGCCGGCCAAAGGAAAGTACAGGAACCTCGACACCAGGAGCAAAAATGTCAACGCAAGGTCCAAAATTTGAGAAGTCAGCCATTGAATCATCACCCTTGTCAGTTGCACCTACTGTAATTGCAGTTGGTGCACTTGCAGGCGAGGTAAAACAAGCATTTTGACTCTCATTTCCAGCAGCTACGACAACATGTATACC